CAGTCATGAAGATTGGTCAATGCTTTGACGGCAGGTTCATGAGTTGACTGCGCATCAACCTTCACCTCCGTTTACAATCATTTTGCATTGCTAGCTCTGGGAGCCCAACCTGAACAAGGGTGCAGTTTAAGTAGCTACAGTATTACAAAGGCTACCCGGCTCTACCACAAGCTCGAGCAACTCGCAACCCTGCTTCCTATGTGTACATGGCAAATCGAAACGCCATGCAACGTGCGCATCGTATAATTTTGCGCTGTCTGAGATACAGCCCTCGGACCTGACCTTCTTGCATGGAACATTGCAATCAGAAAGTCTTTGGGAACGAAGATGGTCCTCCTTCGTTGCTTTAGACGAAGTGGTATTGACAGCCTCACTATCTTCGAACAGGAGCCTTCTTTTTTGTTTACTTGTGTTTAGCTATGTTTGCCGTCCAAGGGACATAAATACAGTCCTCAGACCGACACGCCTAAGCAACAGTCCAGCGCGTCCACATCTCTCGCGATGACATGCCGGACTTGCATAAAATCTCCTTCTCTTCTTCTCCCGATCCACGCACAGACGGAAATAGTTATGCTCACGTATATGGAACATGATCCATCAAGCCACAGCGGATTTGCTAGTGCATACACAAGGACGCACGGACCTGCAAGTATAGTACCTGCAGGCACGAGGCAGCAAAAGACCAGAAAGTTTTCTCCTCCAAAAGATCATTGCTGTAATCCTACCACATGCTGTGCTCGTATCGAGCGGAGTACGTGCACGCACTTGTATTGCTATATTAGTTATGTCTTACCTCGACTTCCTCTACTGTGCTTTTGCTCAACCAATACCTACCCGTTGTCCAAATACGTCCATGTCACCCCATCACCAGCCCTCCAGTCAACTCCCATATCCATATTCCCCCAACCCACCTCCAATCCTCTCACGAGAACAATACACCGACGAACCAAACGAACCATGCACGCCCCGTCTCTCAACCTCATCTTGCTATTCTGGTTCTTGAGTAGCCGCATCGGGGCCGTACCAATGGGTCCTACTGAGCGGCAGGGATCCTCATCTGATTATTTCTCTTTCAATGTGACGTCTAGTAAGACTACCTACTGAACGTGGTAGATCTGGGCATATCCGATCAATTGAGAGATGCTGATGTTTATGCAGCAACTGAGAGAGTAGGCTTGGAGAATGCCGCGATGGATGGGTTGGCAGATGTGAGCTGGTCCTTCTCTAGTCTGGCATGTCGTGAGAAGGAGTTGCTACAGAGATTAATGGCGGCTGATGTGATGTGGTGTCAAGCTCTCGGAACTCGATCTCGTCAAGGAATGACCAGCGGGTGGAAGCAGGGTGGCCAATGTGATCCTCGTGTACGACTTTTGCTTGGGAGGTGCTTTGTCTGGTCGATACAGAGACATGGTCTATGGTTTGCTCGGGTCTTTCTCGCTCACAAGAGCAACTGATGCGAAAGTTTTCGTGCACAGATATTCGAATATGATAACGGACGTCAAATTCAACACCAGCTAATCTCGTTCCGAAATGTTTTCCTCACCGCTCGAGACTTGAATGTCAGGAAAAACGCTACCGTGCTGAAATCCGCTTGGGCCACAACAACGCTTTGAACGTCCCTTCAAGTAAGCATGAACCTCGCTCTTTGAACCTGGTGTTCCTCTTCAACGATCAATTGCCCCTTGGCATCCCCCTCCATTTTCTATCTTCATCAACCAGCGCACGCCTCACGACGCCCTCGATCATCATCGTGCGAGACTCATATACTCAACATACTGGATCATCCAAAACCCTGTAGTACATCTGCACATCATCCGTAGCCATCAGCCTCACCTGTTCTTCCAGGCGCGATACTTTGTTGATCTCCGCCGCAAACCCATCCTGTAAGAGACATGCGTAGAGGTTCAAGTCTAGGATGGCTGACACGTCGTAGTCGAAGGCATCCAGTGCCAAGGCGCTAAAAGAACGTCGCCGAAAATCAATTTACTTGCGTCTCGCCAATCCTCTTTGTTTTTTCACTCCTTACCAGACATGGCACCTAAAAGAATAACAGACGAAGTCGAGCATGATCACCCAGAAACACAAGCCAAGAGGTTCAAAAAAGGTTTCTCCGTAGGACCAGCCACACTACCCGATGGCACATATCGTCGCAAGGGTAATTTCTCTGCACGAAGGCAAATCCATAGACTAACCCATCGAAAGTCCAAAAGATCAAGCAAGATCTCATTCGGAAAGCCAAGGTCAAGAAATCCTACAGCAAGCTCAAAGAACGAGAACCAGTTGACACAAAACCTTCCGTCTACACCTCGACCCCTCCTCCAGAAGAACCCTCTGCATCGCTAGAGCTGCACCCTGAGAGACAGGCTATGCTGGATGAGCCTGAGCCTGCGCCACGGGAACAGATAGATACAAAACAGCAGGTGCTGCGAGGGAGGAAACCACCACGCCCAAAGTCGGTGCCTTTCCGAAAAGAAGCCCTCCTGGCCCAGCAACGCAGAGAAGAGAACGAAAGGCGTCAGAAGGAAGTTGAGGAAATCCGTCGGCAGCGGCAGGCGAAGATCGAGGAGAGGGAGAGGTTCCGCAAGGCCATGGCTAAAGCAAGATCTGGAGGCAGAGATGGGCAGAGGAAGCTTGGGCGCGAGAGCAAGGTTCTGCTGGAGAAAGTGCAGAGGATGATGGGACCTTGAACCAAAGATGGTCTATTTGGAATGAGACTCTCTGGTCCTTCCGCTCCCACGACACAGACATGCACATATCATCGCCTCGGGCTTCAGATCTAATGCTGCTATTAAACTGCGCCAATAGGCTACTTTCAATCGCATTGGGCCAACGTCACGTCACCAAATGGTAGCCAATGTTGAAACTGCTCTATGGGAGCCTCGACACTTTATTGTGATCGCAGAGATCGTCTCGGCCAGGAATGCCGATACTTGCACGGAGACAGATCCTTGCCCAGCTCAAAACGCCGAGAAAAAAGCGTCTTGAGAAGCATTGCCAGTAAATCTTTTCCAGGTCTACGGATCTGTTTGATACTATCTGGAAGCTTGTGGCTCCTTGCCTCTACCTCCTTGTTGTGATAAGGGGCATGACTGTTAGGGAAACAATGCTACGATTCTGTGGCTCTTACCTAGCAAGTCTTGCTATTATATCACTTCTCAGCCGTAAGAATTTCAGCATTGGTCAGCCGTCGAACATCGACCTCAGTTGATGATGCTGGTTTAGGACCCAGAGCGCGGAGTTCTTATGTTTCTTAGCCTCCTGCTTCGCGACAAAGTACGAACCGAAGCATTGGCCGACCTTGCCGCTCATGTCTTTGACTTTTTTTATGGCAATCATTCCTTTGTACGTACACTTACGCTTTGATGTTCGTGGCGAGAGAACACCAGTCAAAAACCCCTCAGCACACTCAATGGAGACAAACATTGCCATTTCAGTCAGGACCCATCATTGAAACAAAGCTACAACACCACATCCACAACCGTTCCATTCCCTTCCACATCCCGCAAACCACCAGCGGGACGCAACCGAATCCGTATCCGATCAGACACCCCCACATCCACCCAAGCGCTGCCGTACCTCCGCACCGCCCCCCTGCTCCCCGCACACCGTCCGTTCATCTCCGCCGCCGCCCGCCCGGCATCCAGCCAGCTCCCCCGATCCCGATCCGGTCCGCCCCCGCGCAGTCCCACGACGACGTCGCACCCGCCGTACGTCCGGGAGACCGGGAGCCGGAAGCCGTCGTCGGCGCCGCCGCCGTGGAACGTGCCGACGGTGTGGTCGATGGGGAGGCGGAGGATGGCGCCGGCGCAGGCGTGGAGGGAGATGCGCCCGGGGAGGGGGGTGCAGTGTATCGTTTTGGTATCGCGGACGGTGATGATGCCGGGAGATGGGTCGTTGCCGTTGCCGGTTCGGCGGGTGCGGGCGGCGTGGGTGGTGATGGTGGAGAGGATTAGCACGGAAAAGGAGAGGGCGGGTGGTGGTTTCATGGCGTTCGATTGTGGCTGGCAAAGGCAGGATGTCCTCTTTTCGACGATCGACAAGCGGGTCACTTCTCTGCGTATGTTGCGCCTCAAGGGTTTTCTTCTCTCGCTTGGATTACTTGCAAGCGCCGGTCACGCGCTCAAGCGATAGATCAACGACTGTTGAGACATTGTGGGCAAATTACACGTGCGAGCCGCAATTCCGTGCTCATACACCGGATTCTAGCCCCTTGTTATGGTTTGTTCTCAGGACTCTAGAGCTGGAAATGGGTGACATGGAAACGCAAACGATTTCAATGGGGGCTTATTCTAGCTGCTGCCCCATGTTACATGGCTATTCTGGGTTTGAACCCGCACAGGATAGGCACGACCGCCACTCTTGACCAGTAAAAAGGGGCTCACAGCCAATCTCAAACTTCAATGACCGCGGTGGAACCTATGTCACAGTTGTTCCGTTGATTGGCACGTCGTGTGGCCTTCTCCCCCCAAGGACAGATCTCTGCAGTTTTATTCAGTATCACTGAACCGATCTGGCAGCTCTCATCGTCTGTACAGTTACGCTACGAAGCTCGGTCTACCTCTTTAAGATCCACCATTCTAGGTGCAGTATACCGCAGCGTCCCGCGCGCCAGCTTGACTACGAGCATGTCGTCCACATCGGAACTCAGGATCCGATCATGCTCGTCTCCTCTGTCAGCGCCAGTCACTAATAGCATCAGACCCCACAGTGTTATAGAGCTGGCTCCATGACCGTAGAGCTGACTTCATGACATCATGTGAGGCAGATTGGTAAAGATTGTCATGCGGACACTTTCTAGAGCTCGAAAGAAGTGGTTAGCAGGGACTGGATCTGTACCATGTTCCCTGCAGAACGGGCCGAGCTGATCCAGCCAGCCCAGATTGCGACGTCGAGCTCGCGCCATGGAATGGACATTCCATGGTGTTTGAAGGTGACGATGGTTGGTGTGTTCGGCATAGGGGAATGGAATGATTCCCGCTATTCTGCTCAGTGCGTCCCTTTCAAGCTAGCTCGCGGGAATACCACACCGACGCAGACCCCACCTTTCCATGGCCTACGAACTTGATATCGCATGTCAAAAGCTGGTAATGTTCTGGCGCTCCGGTCATGAAAGCGTACATTCCGTCCAAGATCCACGACAACTGCTTCCAGGTGATGATGATCCCCTTGTCGGGAAGAACAGTGATACGAACACTTTCTTCCTCGTGCTCGAACTGGTCGTTAGGGATAGGCGAGGAGGGATGCTGACCCAGAGGGCTAATGATCTGCGAGCGGGCGCCGTCGAAGGCTGCCCAGACCGATAAGATCGGAATCGCGTCGCCGAGGACGTCGAAGATTAGGGCGAAGGGAGTGTCGGGTATTCGGAAAGGGATGGTTTTTGCTCTTAGCGCAATTAGTAAGGGGTCCGTGGGAGCCAACAGGAGCTTTGTGTCTTTTGCGTTCGTCAGATTGAGCAGTGTAGGATCTCGGAATTGAAGGCCGCGGGAAGGGCGGTATGAGACGAGCCCTTCCCCCGTCCTGGTCCCGTCTTCGATGATCTCGAATGATAACTCTTGCATATGCTGCCGGCCGGCTCCCGGATCACCATTCATGAAACTGGATGCCTGACGCAGCACAGAATTCAATTGCTGCCATGATACTCCGTGATGCAGAATCGCCTCAACGCCAATCTGTACACTGCCGCCAACAGCACGGTACTGAAAGTCATCGTTCGCGATGGGTTCGTCGGGTTTACTTTGGAGGAAAGGGTGAATCCTAGTGATGGCGCCGTTGAAGGCGGCGTTGACTGCAGAAGACGGGATTTGAGAACCGAAGAGATCAAAGGTCAAAGAGATTGATGAAGGAAGGGAAGTCAAGCCTATACGAACAATTGAAGAGGTGTTAGTGGCGCCTAGTGATGCAATAGAGGTTTCATTCCTAAATTCGGACGGCGAAAGTACCGTTGTCGGAACGGTGAGAAGGGATTGGAGAAAGAGCGTGGATAGTGCACAGAGGGTGTGCATCTGTAGGCTTCAGACTGCAAATCGGGCTTGAGCAACGTAGCACATTCGATGATGAAGAAAGCTGACAAAGTCAGACAGAGCTCATGTAGAGCAACTATCTGAAAACAAAAGGTCCCACGCCAAGTGACTACCCTTGCAATTTGCCGCATGTCGTAGTCGAACTAATCGCGACTTGCGGTGTTTTGAGTGGTAATGGATGATAGGTTTTCGATTGACTGGCTTATGCGACAGGCTTGCAGTATTGAGGCTCTGGGCCGTGCAATGATGACGAAAAGGTAACCAATCACCTGATACACCATCGCTGAATCGATGAGAACTTCACGTGTCTCAATGAAGTGCTTTTTCCAACCCTGACGCACCTCACTTCCCAGTCCTGCCAAGCGAGGTTTTCTGACGTAGACTTTCGTAATAATAATTGCGTATATGACGCCTCCTCGTTCTTCGGTCACAGACACAAATGCTGATTCTGTACTGTCTGTTGGATTCAAGACTGTTGCAGGAAGAGTGAGCTCCCTTATGACCTTGTCCAATCCAATGCCTTTGTTTACCGATGACATCTTATCAGAGTGTTCACAGTCGTCATGAGACCTCATCCGCCCTTTTGAGCTCCGTATCCTGTAAATTGCCACTGTAATAGCTACATAGGGTGAGTTCGTCTAGAGTTTGGGGCCGTGATTTATGTCTAGTGGCGATGTAACCAGTATATCGAACGTGGAGATCCTCGGCATCGCACTTTGCCCGGGGATCACTGAAGACGTTGTTTCTGTTGTTGCCCAACAGAGACGCCGGCGCCCAGCGAAAGCCATCAGCCAGTCTTTTTGATCGGTGAAAGAGGACGGAAGCCGGCAATTGTTCGATCAGCGTATACATCGCCTACATCCTTTGCTCCGCTGTTATGCCGTCCACAAACGCTCTTCGGATTCTGAACATATGTGAATGTTGCCAGACATATCGTTTCACCCTCTAGCTTGCTCGTAGTCCGATACTCAAGTGCCCGGCTCAAAAAAGCATACGTCCTATCCCTTGCCTGGAATTGTGGGAAGGCGCTGTATACGAGCTTCATGGCAGACTCGGTATGATTAGACTAAGACCGCTCCGCCTGACGACCGCATTGAACTCAATCGAGCCTTCGTGGAAGTGGGTATCCAATTTGCTGCAATTTGGGGTCTTTTCGGTCATCACAGCCTCTTGGAGGGTCCAAAGCCGTTTCATCCAGCCAGATCACAGGATTCTTGTTGCCAATTCTGTTCTGCTACAACGCCTAGAAGAGCGCGGTGTATCCGCATCGAGCACGACTGCTTGTCTGGCTTGACGGAAAGTATTTGCCAGCTGCGTAATTGCAAGTTTCCTGAGCTCTTTGCGGACCGGATCGATAGGAATACACAGTGTATCAACCCAGAACGCGGTTTGTGTCGCACGTCTTGTCGAGGACCACACCAGGTCAGCGCTCAAGCGCTTCAGTCGTAATATTTGACATGATGGAAGAGCGTTTGCTTTGGGGTTTCCTAGAACGTGTGCCCAAACATGAGAAATCGCCACATATTCAAGGCCATTGGCGATATAGACTATAATTCTCCCTTTGGGAGGATTTCCATGCTCTGGAATAAACGGCACATAAATCATGGGCGTACCGCCGCTTCGTAGAATGGAGCCGATCTTCTCTTGAGCAATCGAGACCTCCGGGACGAAGCACCACATGGACACTCATTCGCATGATTGGTTTTGCAGTCGTCGTCTGAAGTCTGCAGGGCGAGACACTGCAGCTCAGTATAACTTCCGTGGTCCAGCTTTTGCGAAAATGGTAGCTTGAGCATGCTAGCAAGTAAGAGTCTAGTGTCCTCCATTACTTTCGTTAGCATAGATACCTCATTTCGGCACTAACTTCCCGACTGAGTCAATGGCTGACAGGATTCTGCCTCTGAACGAATGTCACGTGTCTTAGATCAGACTCGCCATAAGACACAGGCCACGATTGCATAGCTGCATGCTTAATGGTCTCTCCTAGTATCAACATAGGTTAATATTAGGTCTGTCGACAACACCGACGATGGGTCCCAGCTTGCCTTGGTCTTATTTGAATTGAAGTGGAAAAAGAAGCCTTCAAGGACACAAAGACACTTATGGATTTGCCCTTGACGTTGCTAAATAATCTCCCAATCCCGAAGATATCCCCTATAAGGGTTTTTCTTTTTGTTGTTCTAAATCCTGGGTTGGTCAAATATAGTGTTTCTGATTCTTTTCACTTTTTGTTCTTGCTCCTTTTATGTTCCATATGTCACTTACAATCTTCCCCCCCGAGCAATATCCTAGCCATCTCCTGCAACTCTCAAACCGAGTGAAGTCACAAAATATAGCCCAAGTCTTGCTACCATCCATCCTTTTTTCTTCCGATACCGACTTGCTTCGCCCGTGGCGGCGATGCATTGTCTCAACACAACACAACAAAAATGCGGGGGCAACAACCCCCCATCAGCATATCATTTCTAGATCTCATGCAAGGGATCTTCTCAACTCATCAGGTGTCGGGTGCAGCACTGCTGAACCGAGCAGCATTCAGCAGCAACGACACCTCTTCCGAGGCAGACGTACAGTTGTAACGAAGAACGCCTTACCAGCAGCTGAGAGAGCAGAGCTTGAGTAGAGCGTTGCCAGATCCAAAGCCAGGATTGCCGCTTCGAAAGACCGACTAGCAACCACCAAAGCTCAAAGCATGCCTTGGTGCCTTTGACCTGGTGTACCAAAGTGGCTTTGTCACATATGCAGATTTGCGCGTCATGCAGCAGACATTTACCCAGCATGGTAATGAATTCCTGACAGCGTGGGTGCTCTCGGCGGTTATGGTCAGCGATCAATTGGCGTAGGATCATGAAGATCGCAGACGAACCTCTTCGCCTGGGCACTCCACTCGAAGTTGACACTCCAGCGCTGCTGCGAATGCCAAGAAGCAAGATGACGCAGAATCGACGAGATCTCGAATTTGAATGCCCTCTCGGCACGATCTTGAGTGTTGTGGGAACAAGCTAGGAAACAGGGGAGTTCTCTGACACAAAAAGGTAGAAAATAAGATCGGTAGGGGTTCAAGTTCCAAAGATTTGTGATGAAAAGTATCTCAATTGAAGTGACGAGCCTTCAAGTCTAACCTTAGGAAAATTCATGAGCGCCATCACCAAATTCCGCGAATGCCACCCAGTTTCAACGCCACCTCTTTCGCCACCATAAAAAAGCGCCCCCTTTCCACGTATAAGCCTGTCATCAGTAACCCTCGCTGACCTGACTACCGACCTCTGTCCAGCTTCCCGGCGTACTGACCAGGGCTTCGTCATCGCTCATGACATCCATATCCTCGCTCCCGACTTGACTAGCATGCTCACCGGTACCTGCATGTGACCCACCAGTGTGGTTCTCCATTTTCTCTTCGATACTGCCAGCTGCTTCGGATTGAGGTGGTGAGTAGAAAGCCGGTGCACTGTTCTGGGCCCATTCATTGACAGACCAAAAATTTGAACGTGTTGGCTGGGGTTCATTACTGAGCTCAGCTAGATCTGCAGCAGCTGAGGAGGCGGACGTGGTGGGTGTGAGGTCCAGTAGCTGTTCAGAGGGATGGTTGGAGACTTCGTCGGTGTCGATAAGGAGGCGTTGGGGTTGGTACGCTGCTGGTTTCGGAGGGACTGGAGGAGAGGCCGGAGAATCACGGAGAATAGGTGGGGAAGCAGATGAGGCGGGATGAGTAGGTGTGCTGGAGCCTGAGATAGTATCTGGCTCTTGCTCTTGAGGTAAAGGAGGTGCATCCATTATTGGCACACCCATCTCATCGGCGAAAGGGTCCGCATATGCAGAGCCCAGAGCTGCGGCCCTGGATTCTATATGTCTGAGGCGTAGGCCTGGTTCCTCTGGTTGGGCCTCGGCAGCCGATGAAGTCGCCGTCGTTTCCTCGACTTTGAGAGCGCCATCCCTGTCAACCAGGTCATCGAAGCTCCTTGCCTTCCCCCTGGCTGCTTGCTTTGATCTCCGTCGCTCTTCTATCATTCTGCCCCTCTCTAAAATCTCATGCCTGGCTCTACGCCTTCGTTCAACCGCTTCTGGGTCCTCATCCTCGCGAGTTGAAGCATCTGGTGATGTGTTTCGGGATTCCGATTGTGGTGCTACTTCGTCGCCTAGGCTGTATAGGGCTATTGCAGCCTTACGTCGTGATTCATCGATCCACTGCCGTACTTGGGGGTTTTCGTAGATAGCGAGACCGGCAGCGCAGATGAGGGAGATGGTTAGAATCAGGCCTGGAGACTGTAAGCTTGCTGTGAATGGTATTGTCGAGACAGAGGGGTGTGATTTGGTCTCTCATCTGAGACTAGTGCAGGCATTCAAGTTTCATGAGGGTGTGACTGACCTTTGGCCAATGGCGCCGGCATGGTGAGAGAGACTTTAGGTGTCGTGTATAAAAACTTTTTTATGTAAGGTAAATTGGAAATATGGCAGGCTCAGGAGAGAGTGATAAGTGGTAGACTGGTAGAGGTATTGCAGAGCAAATCGGCGGTGCCTGGAAAAGAGGCCGTCTCGTCGTCATACCGAAAGACCGAGTACTCATTCATGCTCAAGCTACTTTAAGGTAAGTTAATGCTTCGCCCCCGCACTAGCCCCGATAAGAAGTCCCCGATATCCCGTGCCTCGGCTCAGGGCGCGTGTAAAAAAGCCCTAAATAAATACGCGACCTTTTGATGCTTTGATTGCCTCGATTGCTTAGGATGCTTCTCCAACAAAGTCTTCTTCCCACGAAGTAGATAGAACATCATTTGTAACCATGTCGCGCCCAAGCGCCTTCGGACAGAGGGATATCAATTCCAATCCCACCTCGGCAGCTCAAAGAAACCTCTCCCTGACCGAAGAGCTGGAGAAGCTGGAACAATCCATTACCTTGACCCTCCAAGGTGATTCCATACCATGCGGGTACCAATGTGCGGCGCTGACTTTGCTTCTTAGAGATCGATCATAACTTCAGTCGAGCCCACCGGATCGTAACGACGAGCATTCTGCCAGTTGTCGAACGATATGCAGAGCATTCGAAAAATGTCTGGGAAGGCTCCAAAGTATCCCCCCCGTCCTAATCGCATCAAGCTTATAGCCTGACATGCCACAGTTCTGGAAACAGTTCTTCGAAGCCTCGGCCAACGTCTCCCTCTCTGGCTATGGGGAACCTCCCGCCGACGACGAAGCCACCACCACAGAAGAAGACGATCCCACCACAACCACGCCGTCAACGTCAACCTACGACTCCCCCCAGCCCAACACCCCTTCGAACCAGCCGTATCCTAACGAAGAAACACTCTCTCCCTCCCCAACCAACAGTACGCCACGTCCGCCCAAGCAAAAACGGCCAATAGCAACAGCCCCGTACTCTTCGCCATACGAAACCCTCAAGCGAGAAACCCTTGCGCCCTCGCCGTCTGAATCTACTCTTCCATCCACACCCCGCGCCGCCGCTTCTCCAGTGCCTCAATCATCTCCTTTCGCTCCGCCTTCCACATCTCACCACACAGCCCGCCGCACGCCGGCAAACGATGTCCTTCTGCACCGCGTTCTGGACAAGAACTGGCGAATACAGGCCACCCCCCACTCCACCATAAGACTGCCTCAGCGTAGCAAATCATTCACAGATGCAACGCCGAAACCCAGCACAGCCAAGAAGGGTAGAGGCAGAGCGAAGGAGGACTTCGATCTGGATTCCTCTCCTGCAGTGCCTGCACCACAATTACATTCAGAAATCTTCGATACGCCGGCACGAAAGAGCCGTATACCAGGAGTCAGTGTGCTCACTCCTGCAAGAGGGAGGACACACAGCGCCGCCGAAAGTGGGAAGAGGGGAAAGCAACAGCAGATGTGGGATAGTGACAGCGACGATGGTGAAGACGATATGGGAGTCGGGATGAGCCCGCCAAAGACGATGCAATTCCATGTTCCGCAGCCGAGGTTGTTGAGGACGCCCGCACGGGAAGCTTCGAAGCGGATTGTCGAGGATTTGTTGCTTACGGCTGGGGGGAACGTGACGGATGATTTGGAGGAAGACAGCCCGAGTGTGGTTCAGAGAGCGAGATTGGGAGACGAGGACACCTTCTGAGGCTTTCTATGTGTATAGTACAGAGAAGAAAGAGGCCCAATTTCCATCTCACATTCCCTCTACTGTCCAATCCTGGTTTTGCAGAATCAATCAAGCATTGCTCTTCGACGCTTGTAATCTTATCTCTCGATCTCAGCGGAGCCGTGGGCAATGTTCCAAATGAAGTGGCTGAAAGCTGTAAAATTGTTACTTCAAGCAATTCTCAAACGGACACTCAGTCCTTCCATGCTTGTATCCGTTCAGACTCTCGGTATTTGTACCGTTGCATCTGTCATCTTTTCTGGTAGTGAGCCTGATATTCTAAATCCTCCTCCGGAAAGCGTGGTTATAACCTCGTTTCCAAACAATTTGTTCCAAGAAATACCCTCACACTGGTCTGCTGCTCCCAATCAAAAGCACGACAACGATTCCAGTGCAAAGATTACTAGTAGTCTAATCCATGATATACTTTCTCAAGCTAAATACAACTAATGGTATATATCTACCCGTATCATCAGGTCCTTAAAATGCTCCATCCGTAAGGTAAAAGATTGAAATGCCCCCATAAATGATGCACGCTTTGCTAGTCATGCCGGAACCCAGTACACGGAGGAAACTAAAAAGTATCATCTCCGAAGGATATATGGTAAGATAAACAAGGATAGCGCCCGCTCGAAGTGCTGTAGAAGTAAAAATCATTCCAATAAGGGTATCAGTATCGTTTCTTCGATGTGCTCTCGCACTCTCGTAACCTGGAGGCCGAAGTCACTATACCCACTTTCGTCTTGTGACGTTTCCACTCCTCGAATTTGAGAGTGTAATGGTGTCTCGGACCTTGCCAGGTCCATCTCTCGATACTTCTTGGACGGCGGCATCGAGCACGCCGTCATGAGCCTCCCTCTCTCCCTAGGTCACAATTTTTTTTTTCAGGTCGCTCTCATCTCCGTTCATCGTCACCCATGAACACCTCCTGGCAATGCTCAATCAAGAATTGCACGGCCCCGTTCTTGGCCTGCGTGTCTTGCATTTCTCTCGCCAGACTCTCTGGCCGCATAACAGTGGGTGCGAACACAACCGCCACGTTCTGGCTCGTCATCAAGTTGTCCGCCTGCTGCTCCACGACTCTCGCCAAATGAAATACCAGTACTTCCAGCGTATCACGGTGATGCGTGGGTAGCTCGCTGATTGCGTTTCTCATGCTGCTCACGCGGTAGGTGTGGTTGAGGGGATTATTGGGGTGGGCCGGATGTGAGGGGTCGATATCCATTGGGTTCTGCCCAGGAGGTGGAAGAGTCTCGAGGAGTTTATCGTATACTTCGTAGGTGATAAGTGGTGTGGGAAGCTTTCGGAAGTATTGTTTGAGGGTGGAGGTGACGGCGTTGATATCGAGGTCGGGATCAGAGATGTCGAAGTCGTTGCTGCGTTCAAAGCCTTCTTTGATGGTTTGGATTTGGGAGTTGCCGCCAGATTTGCGGTAGATGCCTTCGATATCCATGCCTAGTGAAGGGTGTCAGTAATAGACAAGGTTATGGAGCAATGGCACGAAAACATACCTCGGGCGTCCACTTCTTGGATACAACGCATTACGATACCGGGGATGTTCACCCGCTCGTATTCTGCGCGGTGCTCAAGCTCGGAGCCAAACAAAGCTGTTGGTTATGTTAGCGAGATCATAGCACTGGCGGAAGAATGCAAGTACATACCTGGACCACCTTCGTGATTGATAGCAGGCATGCTACCGTTGGGCGAGTTCTTCCACGGCTGCTGCCTTCCCCTCTGATTGCCGAAGAAGCCTACGAATCCTGGTCGCGCTGGGTCATGACTCTGATTCCTGGAGAGGCTACCGCTGGGATATTCTTGCTGCTGCATAGCTCCATAAGGCATACCTTCAGGATACTGGCCTTCTCTTTGATTCCTGTTCCCATCGCTAGAGAACGCTCCCTTCAGGCCTTTCGTGACGCCTTTGGCAACGTTGTGACCTCCTTTCTTCCAGTTGAACTTCTTTGGTTGGGCCTTTCGGATATTGACCACTTGAGGTGCTGTCAAGTATGTTGCAGGCTCGACTTCGTTCTCCTGCACCACGGTGGATCCGGTCATAGTACTTTCCGTGAACGAGGGCCGTGAATCCCGAACGTCCATCCCAGAGTTAGACCTACTATTTTGGTTCTGTGCATAGATACCCAGGCCATTGGCTTGAGGTCGGACAACGTCAGGAGCAGGGCCCTCATTTGCTTTTCGAAGCTCTTGGACCTGGTGGACAAGCTGATTATTGAGATCTGCGAGTTGCGCATTCTTCAAAGACAGCTGTTCAAATTCCTGAAAGCTGCTCTCTCTCAGTTGAGTGAGGTTGAAGATTTCTTCGGTCAAATCGTTCCTTCGCTGCGTCAGCTCTTCGATTTGCGGCGCAAAAGAATCCTTCAGCTTCTGTAGGCTTTCCGCAAACTCTCTTAGTACCGCGTTACTCAAGTTACCAACGTCCAGTGGGTCGCCGCTTTTCTTGGCTGCAGCGATATGCTCTGTCAGAACCTCCAACTCCCGGACCACTATCTCTTTCTGTGTGTCCAGTACGACCATCGTAGATCTTTTTTCCCGCAGTTCTGTGTTCATCTGTTTGATATTGGTCCTGGCTTCAACCGCTGCTTCCAATTCGACGATTCTCTGCTCCATTTCGGTCATCTTCTGCTTGTCCCTACGACTTTCGTTTTTGTACCGTCTGAGCTCTTCTTTGTTCTCTGGCGATGAGGCTGTGGGACTGCTGACTTCATTGGCAAAACCAGGACTGTTCGATCCAACGAGAGGTGACTTGGGCCATTTTTGTTCCCTAGAAAGACGGGTACCTCTGTCACTGTAGCTCCGAGCGTGACGGACCGAATGCGAGACACGTCTTAGGAAGCCACCTTGGTCTTGCTGTCCGTCAGTGTTCGTAGCGTGAGCTATGTCATTATCCATGGTGAAACCTTCCGCTGCGGGGTGGCGCATATTTGGTGAGCCTGAGGAGTCCCCATTGCGTGGCGATTCAGGCTTCATCAAGTCGGTCTTTGCTTTGAAAGTTGCTGTATTCGGAGGGTTCGGAGGCACTCTGGGTGCGACAAAGGAATCGCTTGAGGAGGCACCTTGCTGAGCGAGGCGTTCGCGGGCACGTAAAGGAGGCGGCGGAGCATCAGCAAAGTTGACAGCTGATGGGGAGTCCTGCGCCCTTGTAACGCCTCTACTCCCATTGGTGTTTGCAAGTGGTTGAGTAGTCGTTGTAGCTGGTGCCGATGCTGGTTTCTCGTAACCGCTCTCAAAATTTGACACATTATTCGACAGCTTGCTCACAGTTGCTACATCCATCTCTCTCCTGGGAATAGGTTGTTTGCCAAGCGATGGCTTAGCCAAAGAATCGCCCCTCTCCGGCAGGTTTTTTAATTGCGTACTCAACGGCGAAGTATGCGAAACTGGCGAATCCGTCGAAGTATAACTTCTCGAACCTTGGGTGTCAAGAGGCGAGCCGCTTAGAGTTGCTTCAGAGCGTGAGGAGGTTGGGGACTCATGCGAAGATAATATGACCTGTTGCTCTTTTACCTGTGTACTTGCCGTTACTGGCGCAGACTTCGTCTTTGACGCCGGTATGGAGGTATCTCTCGTTGGCGGAATCGGGTCTGACTTCGAATTCCTCTTCTTCTTGGGGGCTTCTTGTAGCATGAACTTGCCATTAGTTGTCTCGCCGTTCCGACGAGGACGAGGCTCCTCGCCTGGAGTGGCTCGTGGGGTCTCGTGGGCAATTGCATTGATTGAGTTGCTCCCAAGCTCTTTCTTGCTGCGGACTTGATCCGTGAGGTCAGTGGACAGTTGCCGACCTCTTTCTTGATATGCAATGTGTGGACTTTGCGGTTGAGAAGGCGGAGATGAATGGCGAGAGCTAGTTGGCGAAACAGGGGTGGGAGCTGTCTGAGTATTTTCTTTCTCGATTGGCGATTTCCGTGACGCGGAATTTATCGCGTTGAAGTAATCTCGAGCGGTAGGTTTGCTCTCGCTCGGTTGAGACTTGGGTGTACTTTTTTGCTCGTCGAACAACTCCCGCCTAGCTAATGGAGACGGTCCAGGCGCTGGGTTGGGATCAAGTGCCATGGGAATGAAGAATCCCTCGCCATTTCCAGATCCATCAGATAGTTGCGAATGAACTGAGTGTCTATTGTTTTGATAGGTGGTATTGGGTAGCGTGATATTTTCTGCCAGTTGTCAGCTACCGCATTGAAGGAAGCCACCCCACTGGATGTATACCTTTGCGCTCGTCTTCTTGAGTCATAGGTGACCTTTCACGTTTCTCACTCCTTGATGAAAGCGATCTGAAATTCGGCGGCCTTTTTGGAGGCCCTCGGGGTATTTCAGCCGGTGCTCCAGTCTCCGACCTTGATCTCAAATTCGATGGCACGTTGTGCGCGCCAGGTGGGAGTTCGGTAGGTGTTTCGGAGTAGCCCTCTGAAGGTGGGCTCTCATTGTCCGGCGGAAAGGCACTTTGGTTGACGGCGCTTGGCGGTAGAGATGGCAAGGACTTGTCCAGCAACATGGTGTTGTTCTGGGGTTGCTGAAGATGTTTATGACGATTTGAGCCGTTCTTTTGAGATTTCTTCCGGCGCCTTTGCATCAAGGATTCGTGACATTCCATGCAAAATATGCCCTGTGAAGTCCTAGCATATTTGAGATTCTCGATCTTCTTTTTGCAATTCCGACACTTGAAGCACGTAGCGCAAAAGGCCTGGTCTCCCGTGAGAATGGCGAGGTCCTCTATCTTATTGTTACAGACGCTGCAGCTATATGTACAATTGTTGCAGATGAGTGAGCCGTCGCCGAGCAGGAGGAGGTTTGCATCCGAGTCGAGGATGGTACCGCAGGTGTTGCAGCGGAAACAGTCTATGTGCCATCGATTGCCCGCTGGTAGACTATCAGTATATCGATCTCGCAAAGTGACCATGGTTGTAGCAGAGACGTACCCAGTTCGAAGGCCTTTCCTTCCTCGAGTATCTACGTGCAGGTTACACTCGTTAGCACTCCGGCCTAGCACAGGGGGCTACTCAGCTGAAAGGCAGCAGGGCGGCGTGAAACATACCTCTCCACATCCTTTACACGGATATGCTGCCTCGTCCTGCTCCATAGGAGACTCAGGAAAGCCCGAAGACGAGTCCATCATCATCAGAGGCACTGGGTTGCCAGAACCCAACTCTGCTGTGGCAATCAACAGCAGACGTCAGGGCCAGCGTATCGATAGGACGTTTGATCCTCCCCGCTAGCTCTATTCATGGGACATAGGCCAGACTTGCCCAGATCCACCCAAATGGACTGATATCCCTTGCCGTTTCGCAAGAAAACCAGACCTCAAACAGTCGAAATCTGCGTCTTCCGGGCGTAAGGCAAGCCTAGTCGACTACCGGTTCGGTCTATGGTGCGCGTATGATGGGACTGGCGTTGGCTGACAGGTACATGCACAACCGCGAGCGACAAGCGGAGAGAAAGGAGTGGATAGCCTAAGCTCTGGCCAGGGCAGCGCGCAGAAAGCTGTAATATGATGCAGGCCTCGCAGCTTCCCGAAAAGTCGTGGAGTTAAACCGTAAAGCACTCACACTCGCCCCGAAAGGGCAGTGGGATGAAGTTGGTCGTGATTATATTGATTCATTGGGGAGTGGATGGAGAAAGAATTTCGAGGTGCGGACCTTGGGACTCGTGACTGGGGCTCTCGGCAATGGTGTTTCAGGATTATTAGGGCAATTGGCCTTGTGGGAAGGTCAACGACGAAGCGTGCAAGCAAGAATGAAGATTCGTCGGTGTCGCTGTCGCTGTCAGCATCATCATAGGTGCCAGTGGTGTTCCGAAGTTCAGGGTGACGATGTCCAGGCGCAGAAGAGGAAGTGGCTAGTGCGTTTTTGAGAGTATTTCCACTATACACTACTATACCAAGGGCAAAAGGTAGTTCGCCGGGAGAAAAGTTTGGTGAAGCATTTTCCAAGCCAGTGCCATTACGAATTTACGGTACTTAAAGACAGGGTGGGTACAAACATTTTCTACTGTTCTACGGCAGTGCCCACAAGTACCTCGCATAAGGGGTTTTGGTGACTGATGAGTGATGACTGCTGTGCTACGAATGTGTCTGACCGCTTCAAACGTGCGCAGCCAGGCTGAAACGCATATCTAACGGCAAATCCATGTCGGAGTCCTTTTATGCGGAAGATATTTTGATTGCAACTTTGTGATACGGGAGGGCCGAATGGAATGGAACTGGAATGGGCGCAAGCCATGTATGTAAGGAGTATAAGTATACAACTGCTTGCTCCTTTCCGAATCCTTTCTACATCCCACGACTTGTCAATAATTAGTTATCAGGCTCAGCCAGATCACTGAGCGTGAACTCCAGAAGCCTGATAGGTAGTAGTATTGTTTCAAAATTGATAGAAAAACCAATAACGCGCTGTCCGGAACTCTGGGCGCCCCCGCAACCCCTGCAGGAATACACATACCCTGTCACTGCCAGGGTGTCAGGATGTCAGGGGGCCCTTAGACGCCACCCAAATCCTTTAGGCATAGCGGGGGCTGACGTGGGGCCTGATTAGCGGCCCAAACCTTGACAATATGCCTATTGCCTGCAACTAACTACTGTGCTACTGTACTCTTTACTCCGTATGGTGGTAGGTCTACCTTACTGTACCTGCAACATCATTCATCTCCCTCAGCCTTGTCTTGCCGTTCTGCAGCATTAAGGTATCTTACTAGGTATGCATGCAGTATGCCTCCTATCCCCTTCAGCCTCACCTCAAATCCTGATGCTGATAGGTAATGCTTCAACCTGCCTGTTTTATTGAACTCAAAGGCTTGCAAGTCAAGTAGCATTCTCCACCAGTCAAGCTTTACGCCTCTTGACTTTTCTCAGAAACATCGTTGCCCTGAAACACTTTGCCCATGTTGCACCTCCAGCCCGTCCCTAAGAAGGCCTGGTGCCGCCGTCGCCGTGCAAGCTTGTCGTTGACAGGGCCTAGTAGTAATGAGTAAAGTTGGAGATTATGGTCCGGCGAGACAATAGAACCTCAATAACGATAGGCAGATGACAAAGATCTGGGATGTTAATCATTCTAATCAATGTTCCATACGACGATATCCGATAATCGCGGCCCGCAAGCATTTCCTAAAACTCAAAGGTTCAATCTGCTAGCGCCGTTGGGATCTCGAATTGGGCACTAAAAGTAATAAAGTACGACGCTACTAGCGTTGTTGATTCTGCGCTTGTAGAAGCGCGCCTGACTGTGATCATAATCATCACATCGAGAGGAGACCAACTACCAGGCGTATGTTCATCTTCGAGGGCGGCAGAAGACTGAAGAGGCGTTCATACGCATCCACTCAATCAGACCAGCGCCATGTAGCTCTACTACCTATAATGCTCCAATTGCGGCATACTTCTGGGGTTCAGGACACCTCGACTGCTTTAGCCAGATGGGCGACTTCATCCATCGCACCACTTTAAGCAAAGACCTTTTAAAAACCTCATCACCAGCTACGTCAAGAGTATTCAGTCTTATTGTATTCGCACGGAACTTCGAATCCTCCAAATGTCCTTTGTCTTCTGTTCAGACGTGGATTTGACATGACACAACGAAGGGCCTACCGATGGTAAAGCGGTTCGACGACTACTACAAATACTCGGGTCAATCTCCTTGAAAGGATTGCCCCTGTCTTCAACAAGTCCCTACGTCAGAGCTCTCAATGGAGCCCCAATCAGCTCTTTCAGTATCCGGTCAAGCTGGTATGATGACAGAGATTGTGCTGATTGGGCGTCAGGACTTGCCGAAGACCTTCAGTTCCTATACAACATATGCTGCTTCTTGTCCTTGACGCGTCTATCAATTGACGGCCTTCAGTATTGGACCCGAGAGGGGCATATCAAAGGCTATGGTGAACGGAGAGAGACTAAAGCGTCGGACGATTCTGATCGAGCTCTTCGCAATTTTGGTACACCAGGCAATGGTCCGCAAGAAGTGATCATTCGGCCCAAAGCTCTGCGAAATCTATCCATTGAAGCGTGCCCTACGAGCTACGCCGGGCATCTACATCGGCCATGTTCGAGCGGGAAGCTATACGATGCATTACTCTTGTCTATCCCCAAGACCTGGATGATTCTCGGTCGCTCATCCTGCAAGACTTCCCCAAACTCAAACGACTTTGTATGAGAATCGATTCCTTAGTCTTGCGCAATCTGTCAATGTCGGCCGCTCTTCCACCGGTATTGGAGGAGCTTCATCTTGAGACTCAAGATGACATCGGAGCCATTCGTACGTCTCACGTTCTCAGAATTGGCAATGCGTTGTAGCCCCATTTTTGGATCACTTCCGTGATTTGAGAAGTGCAGATGCATGCACGAGCTCTGGGCGAGAAATCTCTAAAACACGGATGATACTTCCGAGTCTCCAGTCACAGATCCGTGCCTTTGTCTTTTTGGCGTAAAGACTTGAACCTCGGAACCCTGTTAGAAGTTGAGGCCAAACAGTCCGCTACTCAAAGAAGAGAACCCTCATAGCTCTAGGAAACTATTTGTAGAACTAGTTACCACGGCACGCATAGCTTTAGGCAGAGACACATCGAACAGTGAACACTTTGCATTTTATTTCAGCGCTATTTAATACATTTTGAGTGCACAAATTGGGAAGCCCTACTGAACAGTGCATATACAATACAACGACAGCCACCAGCGCCATCGCTGAAATGGAAGGCTCGAAGCCCAGAAACCCCAGAAACGTTCCGTCATCAACCATGCGTTACTGCATAACAGCCCTCTTTCTCGCCAAATAGTAAGTGATCAAGCTGCGATGATCTTCCTTCGCACCCGTCACAAGGCCCCAAAATCTTTTTTGATCCACGGTATCGTATAATTCAAGCACGAATTCGATTACAGCGCGTCGTATATCAGGATTCGTATCTGACAAACATCTCGCACCCATCCAGCCTAGTCTCTCTTCTTGTTCCTCACTCAGATGAAGGCGAGTTCCTTTCTCTTGACCACGGTGTAATAAGCCGGCTAGGACATACAATCCCATGAGAATGGTATTAGTCTCAGCGCCTTCGGGACGTTCGGTCTCTAGAAGATCCATAACAGAATCAATGCAGGGAGACGGGTCACACTGATGGACGATGGACTCAGCGGTCTCTTCGAGACCGCAAACAATATGGGATGTGCTGCTGTAATGCTTGCGAGCAGCAAGGACAGCGGTAAGTGCGCGCGGATGGTAGGTGAAGAAGTATTTCGGCTGATGTTGCAGCAAAACTCGTACCGTAACCAGTACCTGCGTCTTCAAATCCTGCGCTTTGCCTGTGCGAGGTGTAGATTCGTCATTTGGTGTCTCGAGGTATTCGAGGAGTGGGAGGATTAGCTCGTCAAATTTGTAGCCGCCTTCCCAGATTGACTCTCCTGAGGTGCGAATCAGCGCCTGAAGCTTGCGAAATCCGTGAACATCCAAGCTCCTTGACTGGACGCGGACGATTCCGCTGTCTAAGATCTTGCGTGCAAGCCGGGGATTATCAATGTTTTCCGAATTGCTAATACGTTGTCTCTCCGCTGCCTCAATAGCCAACCACTTCTGGTGGTATTCGGGACTAGCGGGCTCCTCCGCTAAGAGTTGATGATCAAATACCTGGCGATGCTGTTTTGCAGGCTCGTTCACTGGAAGTTCTTCAAGGGCGCCTGGCGTGTGGACTAATGGCGGAAGGGATAATTTGCCATCGCTGGGGTCAAGCACAGGATCTTCATAGACCTGGAGCGGCCGTTGTTCCTGGAAATAGGAGGTTTTCATGGTCAGATTTTCTTTCCTCGATCCAATAGCTCTTGGGCTCATCGATATTCTTTGGCTACTGGCCCCGTTCATTGATAGATGATCAAAGTCGTTGGCTAGCTTTGTGGGACTCGTGTGGGACTTGTCACCTCCATGGCCATTGATCGATGAAGCGGAACCGTTCTGGTTGAGATACTTCCTTGGACTCGGGGATGATCCAGCGTTCTCGGACTCCGTAGGCATGAATGGATCTCCCGTAGGTGGTATATCTAGTGAGGAAGTAGACTTGATCTCAATAGGTGCTTTGAGTGAAGGCAAGAAGTCGCTGGCGTTCGACTTCGTC